AAAATCTTTCTAGGAATAAAATGTGTTACTTAAATACTAATTGATCAACAATTTATAAATCTCTATTTTATTTAAAAATATGTAATTTTAATCAAAATAATTGTAAATATAACAAATTTTATTTAGAAAATCGTATTGATCCTACCAGTCCAACTGACTGGTGTAGACGGACTCAATAGCAAATATTTTGTTCAGGCAAACTAGACTGGTTAAAAACTGATTCTCGGTCCATTATCATTTCAGACTGTGTGCAACTCAGTTTAATTAAAAATAATAGGTAAATCATGATTACTGTTATTTATATAAAAATTATAATGCAATCGTAGAATTATTTTCCCGTGCATCGCACGAGTTATGCACTAGTATATATTTAAATAAAATAACCATTTACTAAAAATAGTAGCAAAAAAATCTAGAAACATTAAATGCATACCTTATTTTGAAACTTTTTAAATATAGGCATTAATTGCTTGAATATACACATTTCTAGGAATAAAATGTGTTACTTAAATACTAATTGATCAACAATTTATAAATCTCTATTTTATTTAAAAATATGTAATTTTAATTCAAATAATTTTAAATATAACAAATTTTATTTAGAAAATCGTATTGATCCTACCAGTCCAACCGACTGGTGTAGACGGACTCAATAGCAAATATTTTGTTCAGGCAAACTAGACTGGTTAAAAACTGATTCTCGGTCCATTATCATTTCAGACTGTGTGCAACTCAGTTTAATTAAAAATAATAGGTAAATCATGATTAATGTTATTTATATATAAATTATAATGCAATCGTAGAATTATTTTCCCGTGCATCGCACGAGTTATGCACTAGTATATATTTAAATAAAATAACCATTTACTAAAAATAGTAGCAAAAAAATCTAGAAACATTAAATGCATACCTTATTTTGAAACTTTTTAAATATAGGCATTAATTGCTTGAATATACACATTTCTAGGAATAAAATGTGTTACTTAAATACTATTTGATCAACAATTTATAAATCTCTATTTTATTTAAAAATATGTAATTTTAATTAAAATAATTTTAAATATAACAAATTTTATTTAGAAAATCGTATTGATCCTACCAGTCCAACCGACTGGTGTAGACGGACTCAATAGCAAATATTTTGTTCAGGCAAACTAGACTAGTTAAAAACTGATTCTCGGTCCATTATCATTTCAGACTGTGTGCAACTCAGTTTAATTAAAAATAATAGGTAAATCATGATTAATGTTATTTATATATAAATTATAATGCA